ACACACACACACACACACACACACACACACAATAACAGTGTGGGTCCTGAATTTAAGTGGACCTGGATTTGACTCCTGCCTCTTCCACTTATAAGTTCTAAGACCTGAGCATGCTACTTAATTTTCCTGTTCATCAATTTCTCATCTCAACAGTAGGAATAGTAATGGTAACCCACTTCAAAGGGTTCTTATGATATTAAGTGATATAATGTATACAAACACTTAATGATGTCTGCACATGCCATGGGCTCAATAAATATTTATTATTATTATTACTATTAGTAGTAGCATTTGCATTTCAATCACTATTATCACACTGTTAGATACTACACTAGGTCAAGCTAAAAATCCTAAAAAAAAAAACAAAAAAACACCCACAACCACTAAACTTGTATAACCAAGAAGAACTATTTTGCAGTTTCTGTATATAATCTCTTTGATCTCTTGATCTAAGATAACCTTTTCCATCTTTAAAGCAGGATCTATTCCTAGGAACCTACCTCTTCTCCATTCTAGTCTATTCAAATCATATACACTCATACATTAATCATTAATCTGTTCAATTTATAATACTTTCACACATGTATGTGTGAAATTGATAAGGCAAATTGATTTGTATCATGTGTACTAATGAAAATACTTAATTTAGCTGGCAATAGGAACTTTAATCTGTGTTTCCTTTGCAGCTACAAAAGTATCTATACCAATGTACTATAGGCAGCAGATAGTCAATAATTATGATGGACAGGTAGTTGTTTAAAGGACTTAATCACAGTAAGAAGAGAGAATATTTTTAGCATCATGTTTGAATCCTACCTGACATCTTGGGAAATGCAATAATTCAAACCTACGCAGGCAATTAAAGGAATGCTTTTTATTGCTGCTTGACCAGAAATCATACCTAATGGTCTCTGATACACTGTGATTAATCACTAAGATGGTTAGTATGGGACATTCATTCCCTTCCTTCATGTCCCTGCTATTCTCAGTCTCTTTATGTCACAAGCCATGCATAGCAATATTTATTTTAATTAGGAAGAGGTAACACAAGCAAAGGTAATTTGTTATAGGTATGTTCAGTAAGGAACCAAATTGCACAGCAAGATCTCATACTGGTGACAAAAAGACCTCCACTAAAGCATGCAATTTTGCCTAACAATTTATTTCTTGGGACAAATTCATAAATGCCCAAGTCCTGTCCCAGCACTATTAGGTAAATCTTGCTCTCAGAAGAAATACAGGAGGATGTTCAAGTGATAGGTACCCTTTCTTGTATCCTTCACCACTGAGATCCCATGTTGGGATCTTGACCTAATCCCTAAGAGAGAATAATAATTTTACATTATGGGAAAAGAAAATTATTTCCGTTTTTTATTCTACCTTTAACGTTTTTCAAAACAAATTTGGCTACTAAAAATCTGATTGAAATTAGTCCACAAGGATGAAGCACACAGGGAAGGTAGAGTCATGGTGGAGATGATGATGATAATGACAGTGATGCTTAAATACTTCCTAAACATTTCATTGTAAGCCCTATGACAAAATATTTAACTATATTATCCAACTTAGTCCCCACAATTGTGAGAGCTTCATATTATGACCTATGAAAAAAAAAAACCCTGAAGCTTAGAGAAATTAAATAATTTGCCCAAGGTCATACCACAAATGACACTCAAGTCTGGTTTTTCAACCCAAGTGTCAGAAACCAAATCCACTAACATCAGTCATCATAAATCTTATGATTAACAATTTTTTTTGTGACCTATTGCTAACCATGGGTTGTCTAAAATTAGATTTAGGCTTGGTTTTACTACGTCTGACAGAGTAAGTCTAAATATTTCCATAATAAAAATTAAGCTCCCCATTTAAAAAATGGGAAAGAGCCATGAATAGTCAATTGAATTTTCTAAAAGCAAAGATTAAATTACAGATATTTAAAACTCAAAGAAATTCAATTTGATTCAAGAAACAGTAACAGTGAGGTTGGTATACATGGTACCGTGAGAGTTCAGGGATGGAGGGAGCAGTGTCACTGTCCCCACAAACTAAAAGTCTAACAATAAAAAAGGGCACAGATTGTTGATAGCTCTTACTTCAAAATCCCTTGGAGAAGAAGACATGTTCAGGAGAACACCCTATCTAAGCTGTGGCTCCATTCCCTGATAACTCTCTATCAGAGAGGCCTACAAACCTTATAAAATCCCAGAAAATAAATAATTTAGGCTTTGTAGACCACACACTCTGTTATGGTTTAGATATGAGATGTCCCCTGAAAGCTCATGTGTGAAACAATGCAGGAATGGTCAGAGGTGAAATGATTAGATTATAGAAGCTAAACCTCATCACTGGATTAATCCACTTGTTGGATTAATCATCTGAAAGGACTCCTGTACTGGGTGGCAACTATAGGCAAGTAGGGGTGGCTGGAGGAAGTAAGGCCTTTGGAATTTATATTTTGTCCCTTGGTGCTTCTCCTGTCTCTCAACTCTCTAGCTGCTATGACCTGAGTGGCTTCCCTCCACCACAACATTCTGCCATGATGTTTTGCCTCACCTCAGACTCCAAAGTGGAGTCAGCCGACCATGGAATGGGACCTCAGAAATTGTGAGCCCAAATTAAATTTTTCCTCTTCTAAGCTCTTGGTGTCAGGCATTTTGGTCAGGGTGATGAAAAGCTGATTAATACGTGGTGGTCTCTACCCATCTCTGCTGTTATACTAAAAACCTAGCTATGTTTTAGTATAAGTGAAAAACAGGCAAGACTATTCCAATAAAACACCATTTTAAAAAACAAACAGTGGCCCAGATGCAGTTCACAGGCTATAATTTGCCAGTCCCTCCTCTTGTATATTGCTTTATTTTTTTTCCTTTTCAGCACTTGACAAAATATGAAACTTTCTTGCTTATTAATTGCTAAGCATTTCCCTCCACAAAAATGGCAGTTTCTTGAGAGCAGGATTCTTATTGCTTATCACAGCTGGCTTTCCAGTGCATAGGAGGGATTTCCTGGCATACAGACTGTTCACTCTAAATATTTGTTACATAAGTTAATGAGCAAATACCACTACACAAAGAAAAGATACAGATTTACAATGAACATATAAAATGTATTTGGCCTTATTAAAAATAAGAATAAAATAATGACATGCTACTTTTCACTTTTCAGAATTAATAACTGTATAGAGAAGGAGAAGAGGGAGGTAAGGTCTAGTGTAAATAAACGTGTTTGTAAACTGGTCCTCTCATCTACTACAGAGAGCAGAGAAAATTGGTGCAACATTTCTGGAGGGCCATTTGCAATCATATAGCTATATATATATATACACACTAATTCAAAAAAGACAAAGGATTGAATAGATATTTCCCCAGAAAAGACGTACGAATGACTAAAAATCATATTTAAAGCTTCTCAACATCATTAGTCCCTAAAGAAATGCAAATCAACATCACAACAAGATACCACTTCACACCCATTAGGATAGTTTTTATTAAAATAAAATAAAAGAACAATACTTGATGAGAATATGGAGAAATTGGAATTCTTGTGCATTGTTAATAGAAGTAAAAATTATATAGCTGCTATGGGAAACAGTTTGGGGGTTCCTCAAAAAATTAATACCATGGGGATCCAGCTACTTCACTCCTAGGAATATACCCTAAATAATTAAAAACTAGAACTACAATAGATACTTGCATAACCATATTCATAAAAAACTTATTTACAATAGCCAAAATGTGAAAACAACCCAAATATCCATTAATGGATGAATTGATAAACAAATGCTGTATATAGATATAGAGGAATATTATTTAGCCTTTAAAAATGTATAGGGTTAGGAAGGACAGCAGAATGAAACAGACATTATTACCTTATGTACATACATGACTGCATGGTCAATGTGATTATACAACATGTACAATCAGAAAAATGAGAAATTATACTCCATATATGTATGACAAAAAAATAAAGAATGAGGGTTGGAGTGGTGACTTAGTGGTAGAGCACTTGGCTAGCATGTGTGAGGTACTGAGTTTGATTCTCAGCACTTATATAAATAAATAAAATAAAGGTCCATTGACAACTAAATAACATTTTAAAAAAATAATGATAATTTTTTTAAAAAGCAATAAAATACTGATACATGCTACAACATGGGTAACTTTGAAACATTATGCCTCACAAAGTAAGCCAGATATAAAATATATATATTATATGACTCCATTTATATGCAGTACCTAGAGTAGACAAATTCAGAGAGATTGAAAGTAGAATGGGGATTATCAGGAGCTGGGAGGGGTTATCAGGAGCTGGTCAAAATTATTTTTATAGGTATATTTTATAATAAATATGTATACATACTTTTTACTCTAAAATTCAATTCCTAAAAATGACCTCTGAGGATATAACATAGAAGGGAACAAATATGTATGTATTAGAATCCAAAAATCTCTTTATTCATCAATAATAGTGCCTGACACAACAAATATATAATAGAGACTATTACAAAGGCTTTTTTTCCCGCATAAAAATACCTCCATGGCATTATTATTCAAGGAACAAAAGCAAGTTACAGAAAGCATGATCTCATTGATAGAAAAATTCTAAAGTTCATCTCTGAAGGGAGAACATTGTAGATATTTTCAAAGTGCTAACAGGGATTATGATCCAAATGGCAGATTTCAGGTGATTTTAAAATGATCTACTACATAATTTTCTGTACTAACTGAACTTTTTTTCCACAAAGAATATTCTTAACCAAAGTAATATGCTATTGTGAACTCATTTTTTCACATTAATTAAGGAAGGTGAGACCCTTGGTACTTGCAATTAGATGTTTTTTGTGTTTTCATTTCCATAGCAATACTACTACTTGTGAATAACCAGATACAATTTGAAAGATACATACCTCAGTTAATGGTGTTGGCTCTCTGTCACTCAAAAACAGAGCTAATATTTCAGAGCAGCATTCAAGAATCATGTTCTAGAAACAAGGAGAAGGCAATATAGTGAGGTTGGTATTATTGGTCAAATACTGCACATTTAATGATAAACGATTAGTTTCCTTTGTCTCGTTTTGCATCTCCGAACCCTAGTTTCCAAGATGAGAAAAAGAGGATCAGAATCACCATTTCTTAAATCATCTGGGTTATTTGAAAGGATACAGGATGGTCACAAAATATAAGATCTGCAATTAATCGTGAACAATACATTATTTTAGGATTCTTTCTCTGTAATTCACAGATAAGATTCATGTCACAGAGTAATAACAAGCAAATAATTCACACCAAACTAAGATTTTAGAAAATCACTTTTCTTCTGAGAAGAGAGTCCTGGACTCAATCCCTGGGAGGGATTTAAGCAGAAAAGAATAATGGGATTGGGAAAGAAACAGGAGAAGAAAATGGAAGAGCATGCCTACACTGCCTGTTGAGGACACTGCCATGGCCCCACTGAATGGATATACCAGGCAGCCAGTGGGCCAGATGTGGCATGGTTTGTCTAGAGGAGGAAACAGATGACAGAGAGAACTTTATTGCCTGAGGGCCCCAGTGCAGCCTTGGCTCCTGAGTCTCCAGCTCCATTTTCTGTGAGGCCCCCTGTGCCCTGTGTCCTAGTCGCTGGCTCTGCACAGGCTTACTTATTGCATGCTGACAAGTTTGTGCCTCCTCCCTCACTTATTTTGCGTGAGCTAGTGTTGTTTTCTTTATGTACAACTAAAGGAGCGGTGGCTACAAATTGTCAGAGATAAGCCATGCCTACCTCACAATGTTGCTAGCATCCAGCCTGACAGAAGCAACAAGTTATTTTTTATGATAGAATTAATATATGCATGTACTAGCATCCAGAATATTACAATGATAAAAGTATTTTTCTGTTTAAATTATAACTGAGCAATGCTGGTTAAAACCTTAAAATAAAGAACCAAACAACAACAGACCTTACAGCCCAAAACCAGGTTATGGGCAAGCTTTAGTAAATGAATACATATGGGAAAGATCCAATTTTAAAATTACAAAACTATAATTCCACTTTAACAACTATTCAAGATATTATAGTAGGTCTGTGGGACACAAAGATGAAGAAAGACAGCCTACTCTCATATAAAATTTACAATTATTAAAAAAATAGATTTATACATATCAAAGTTAAATATCAAGTCAAATATGATCAGATCATATCAGTTGTGACATGTTATAGACGGAAAGGTAGGATACTATTGCATACTAAGCAATTCTTAGTATGAGGAATGAGGAAGGCTTCCTGGAAGAGGTTTGTATGAACTAAAAGAGTAGGAGGCTCTCCTGTGGGATCCATGGTCCCCCAGCGGGAGAGAGCCATGTACGCAATGAGCTTTGAGGTAGCACAGGAATCAGAAATGGTCCTTTCTAGTGTGGCATGGTGGCACATACATGGAATCCCAATGGCTCAGGACAGTGAGGCAGGATGTTTGCAAGTTCAAAGCAAATCAGTGAGGCCCTAAGCAACTTAGTGAGATCCTGTCTCAAAAAAACCAAGACAAAAAAATGAGCTGAGAATGTGGCTCAGTGGTTAAGCAACACTGGGTTTAATCCCTGATACCAAAAAAAAAAAAAAAAGGAAGAAATGTTCCTTTCTGTAGACCTGTACAGGAAGCAAAACAGTAAGCTTGGTGACAAATAACTGGAGAGGTCATTTTATAACAGGTCACATAGGAGTGAGGAAAGGAAGTGGACCGAGGGAATAGTGATAGAGATTGACTTATAGATGTAATTCAGACTACAATTTAAAGGTGAAGTGGCCAAAAGAAGACAAGCGAAAGAGAAATCAGCTATAAGGCTGCTCAGACTGTCCGGGAAGCAAGTGATTTTCACTCAGGATTGTGAGTGAAAAGAGGCCTGGTTTGTGGGGCTAAAAGATGGAGGGCAGGCAGGAGGCCCAGCCCTGATCAGGAACATCAGGATGTGGAGCCTTCTGGGCTCCCAGTCCACTTTACCAGACAGAGGGGAAGTACATCCACTCCTATGCTCCTCCAATTTATCTGTATTTTTATGTCTCTAATTGAGTTCTTAGGACTGGTTAAAGTGTGTTTTCTCTATATATAAAAATTTCAATAACATCCATGATGGGTTATTGTCATGATTTTGTCAAGAGCTATCAAGCAAAATGACACTGTCTATATCATTAATCATTATTTCACATAACGGATGAAGATAGCAGTATTACCTGATAAATGCCTTCCACTGCCTGTCTCAACATTTATCAAACAGAAATTTTGTCTCCACAACATTCTATTACTCTGGCATCATTTGAAGTAAACCACATACACATACTGTAAAATTGGCTGATCTGAGGTTGGGCTGTGAGTACCTCCCATGATTTCACTACCGCAGAAGTGAAGACAGGAAAAGCACAGAATGCAATCCTAACCAGAAAGTGGCTGGAGGCGTGCTGAGGTTGGTGGGGGAGCAGGGAGGGTGCAGACGGACCTTTGCTCAGTCCTCAATACGTGAGAGTGTGGATGTGGAGTGTCTCCCACAAGCTCATGTGGTAAGGACTGTCCACCACAGTGGTGCTGTTGGGAATGGTGGAAACTTGAAGAGACGGGGCCCAGTTGGAGGAAACAGGTCACTGGGGAGTGCTTTTGAAGGGGTTTATTTTCCCCATGCCCCTTGCATGGGCAAAATATGCTCTTTCTCTCTTCCTGTTTCTTCCTCTCTCTCCGCTTCCCATGAGGTAAGCACATTTGCTCCCCATGCACTTCTGACCATGTTTCCTCACCACGAATTCACAACAATGGGGTTAAGCAACTATGGACTGATATCTCTGACACTGTTTAGCCAAAATAAATCTTTCCACCTTTTAGGTTTATTTATGTCAGGCATGGGGGATGTCCTTCTGAGTGACTTGGACATATTAAATCCAGTTCTTGGGATGAGCTGAAATCCTCATAATTTTTTACATGTAATAGGAAAGAAACTTCCCACTTTTTTTTCAAGCTTTCAAATTCTGGCTTCCCTCATTACTCCTTCATATACCAATATGGCTGTTTTAGCAAATTGTAGGGGTAGATAGTGGGATGCCCTTCCAGGTGAGATGCTGCCCCTGCCTCCTCCTAACCCCCAGACCTCAGCTTGACTTTCCACAGTTCTTTTCTAGAGAACAAAGTTCTTTCACTATTCACTCGACATCTGTGGACTGCCTCCAACATGCCATGGAGTGGTAACAAGATATTAACAAGACACAAAGAGAGTTTTAAGGAGCTCTTGATCTAGTGAGAGGAACAGGGGAGACAGACTCCTCCAGCACCATGTGGTGTGGGCAGAGAGGAAGCAGCACTTATTCCACAGATCTCCCCAGACCCACCTACCACTACATTCCCCCTACTCTTCTTCCACAATAGATATCTTACTGTCTCCTGAATATAAGATTTTGCTCTGTGACTTCATAACTCATCTCTTGCTCTATTCTCAGTCTGGAATGAGTTTCTCTACAGGTATCCAACTAGAAGTTTCACAAATAACTACTGAAGAAGCACTAAGTATCTATGATACAAAGATCAATAAGATATCTAAGCAAAGGAATTCACAGTTAAGAGAGAAGAAGAGCTGTATAAATGGCTAATTACTAAAGCAATACAGCAAGGGCATAGGATATTTTTGGATAAGAGGAAAAGTGACTTTATTTTCAGTCTATAGGAGTTATTATAGAATGCCATTTGAGCTATTTAATAGTACATTATCTTGCTTAGCTTTCTCTACACACACACACACACACACACACACACACACACACACAATCTATGTAAATAAGATTTTAAAAATAATAAATTGGAATAGTTTTCATCAACAGCCCTACCAATGAAAAAGAAGGATTACAGAAACCTTGCCCTTCTGTATAGTATAGAACCTGCATCATGGAGAAGTCAGTCAGAAAGTTGGACTACATAATAAAGACCTAAGTGAGAGCAGGAAGAAGATAAGAAACAAAATGCTGCACACTAGCTGCAGGAAGAGTGTTAGGAGTTTAAGCCAGTGTTAGGGTTGCTGTGGATGTCGGGAGATACCAGAGCCAGTGCTACAGTTTGGATAGGGTTCATGTGATTCAAGGCTGGATCCCCAGAGTGGTAGCCCTGGGAGATGTTGTGGACCTCTAAGAGGTAGGGTCTAGTAATAGGTCCTTAGGTCATGAGGGGGAGCATGATCTCAGTAATAGTTCTCTGTAACCCCTAGAATTCTCTGGAGAGGGATGTTATAAAAGGATCAAGCCTAGCCCATCTAGCTCTCCCTCTACTTCCCAGTTCAAGATGTGATCTTCAGTTGTTGTTATACCATCTGCCATCTACACTGGGCCCCTCACCAGAGTCAGAGTCTGAACTTTGAATCTCCAAGACAGTGAGCTTAATAAACCTCTTTTCTTCCTAGGTAGCATATGTCAGTTAATTTCATTACAGTTGCAAATGCTAGCTAATACAGCTGAGAAAAAACTGAAAGTAGTTTTGCTATGTGTTATTAAAAATTCACCCTAGCTTTTTCACTGTTGTGACTAAAAGACCTGACAAGAACAATTTTAGAAGAGGAGAAGTTTATTTGGGGGCTCAGAGTTTCAGAGGTTGTAGTCCACAAATAGCCAGCTTGATTCTTCAGGGCCCGCAGCAAGGCAGAACATCACGGTGTAAGGGTATGATGAAGGGAAGCAGCTCAAGCCATCACACCAGGAAGGAGACAGAAGAGAGCTCAGCTCTCCAAATATGTACCCCAGAGGCACACCCCCAAAGACCTACCTCCTCCAGCCATACCCTACCTGCCTTCAGTTATTACTTAGTTAATCCCTATAGGGGATTAATTCACCAATTGGGTTAAGGCTCTCATAATCCAATCATTCCATATGAAAACCTTGTATTGTTGCACACATGAGGTTTTGAGGGATACCTAATATCTAAACTATAATACCCCTAAATGTTCTTATGGGAAATTCTGAAAGATATAGAATGTTTCCAGTGATTTTCAACATCACACTTCAAATGCCACTTTGCTGAGAAGGCTAGCAGGTGGTTGGAATTATTATGAATGACCACTGGGTACTATATATGGCCACATTCATACAATGTTTAAGCTTCTCCATCTGTATTCATTCCTGAATGTCTTCACATCCCCAGGCCTAGAACACTTTTTCACATAATGGTTTCTCAGAAAGAATTTGATAATTGAAGCTCATGTTCAATTATATTTTTTTATATGCTTTTATAGGACTTTGATTTTTCAAATATGACTATGTACTAATTTTAATTGCCTTGTACCATCCAGGTATACCTTAAATATTTGCCAAAATAATCATAGGTGATCTGGAAAACTTGTATTCAGCTCCCTATATCAGTATACTATCGTTCCAAATAAGGATTTGCATCTTTCATATACTTTTAAAAGTCTGGTATGCTCTGAACATGCCCTTGAGCTCTCTAAAAGATTAAAATAACTCAGTCATTCTGAGCCAGTGTTGTTCATTTCAGAAGGGTACACAGGTTTTCAAGCAAGAAGTGATTGGAAGACCTGTTCTGTAGCTCTCGCTCCTAATTTTATCTTAAATTAATATCTATATTCTAAAGTTCTTGGCTTATTTTAGAAAAGAAAAAAGGAAGGAGTGAGAAAGAATGTGATTTACTATCCCACATATCATCCAAAGGCACATTTTTGGACTCTTATAGTCCATAACCCACCAACAATATATATTGTAATAGAAATAAATATATCAGATTATAGCAGTTATGAAATCCTATCCAATTCCAGACCAGAAACAATCTCGTCAAGTGTTCTAGTTAACTTCTAATTAGCTCCAAGTGAAGGTTGTCATGACAATGAATGACCAAATTTAGTCAATGAGATTTATTTGCTATAACCCAGAATCTAGCTTCCCTCCCCCCTCCCCCGCCCCCGTGCTGGTTAGTATTATGGGAAAAAAGGAAAAAGAAAAAGTTTATTTTACTTCCATTTCTCAACTTTCAAATGCTGAGAGCTAATTTGCTTATCAATTCACCCAAACAAATATTAGTATTTCTTCCATCTGGTGATGTTCTTTCATATAGAGATAAGAATGGGGATACATCTAAAATGCCCTATTTTAAAGATAAGGAAACACTTTCAAGGTGCATAAAACAAATTTAAAAATTAAGAAGCGAACATCAAATTTGAAAGAAATTTGTTCTACTCCAGGGTTGATGCACTGGCACTTACCATTCAGACCTGGAAATGAAAGCAAGCCACAAACCTTCACCAAGTCAAGGCAGGTCCTCTGGATTCCTGCTTGCGCTTACATTCAAACACCACTCTCTCCTCGTCCCTATTTATTCCTGATTTGTTTATATTCACAGACAACCTCCTGACTTAGATACTTGGCTCTTTGTTATGAATTCAATACCTACATCATGGACATTCTGGTTACTCTCATTCCACCCAAAGAACTCATCTTTCCACTTCACAGCAGTATTTGAGCACAAAGATTATGTATTTTAGAGATGAAGGGAAATTATTCCTCGAAAGGATAACTGAATGGACCTTAGATAGTAAAATTGAGTGGTACAGTACATTCTAGAATCTCTACTCTTACGGATGCTCATTTTCCTGCTTCGGTCAATCTAAGTTGAAAAGACAAATGAGTTTGGGTTCAAATTGTAAAGGAGTGGATTTAGTGACATTTTCAGCAGAGAATATTCTAGACTATGGCTCAAAGATAGCAATCTGATAGGTTTTTTTCTGTTACTGAAAAACTGGTTATTAGTGTTCTAGAAAAGAATTGTTTAAATTAAAAGTTAAATTCTTGAAAATAGATATGAAACACAACACACACTTTATTTAAAAAAAACTACATGTACAAAATCTCTTGAGTTTGAGATAGTCTGATCTATTGGAGGACTTATTTTAGGGACTCCGTATAGTATATCAGTAAGCATCTTAATTCATATTGCAACATCTGAGGACACTGAAAAAGATATACAACCAAAATTCTAAGACATCTGTTCTATGATAAATGTAGGCACAGAGCACAGAAGACACAAATGCTGGGAGCTGGCATTTTGTAAAGGCTAACTATACTTGCCTGATAGATTCTCTTACATCTGGACTGGGTGCCTTTGTAATAATGAAAATTATATTCATTTACTCTGTTGGTAAATTAAGACTGAAAATGCCAGCAAGAATACTCTGAAAATTGAGAAAGTTGCCAACTTTTATGCCTTTGCATAATAAAAGTACATGGATAGATACATAAGAAAACAAAGAGCCACATCAAGAATATTCTTTAAGAATTAAAAATGTTTTGTTACTGGTAACCAATGAAATATTAACCCAGCCAAAAAATACTTAAGTAAAAGTTCTACAAGACCCAAAATAAAGGGAAAAATCCTAAAAGCTTTCAGATCTAAAAAAAAAAGAGGAATGAGATCCAAATTGTTGGGTACTCAACCAGGAAAGCAGCAAAGAGAGGTTAAGAATCAAAGTCACAGCTGGCACTGAGAGCAGCCAGCCTTCAACTGGACAGAGAGCATGGAAGGTTCCAGGAGGAAAATGGGATCAGGACATCGTATGATCAGTATGAATCCCTGCGAAAAATTTATGGATAAACACCAGAAAACTCATGTAAATTAAGTATAAAAGCCAAGTCAAGAAAAAAAAAACACAGCATGTTAATCTGACTCAGCTGTGAACATTATTACAGGATCATAATCAACACTAATATCAAATAAATTTTGTGATTTGACTATATTAAGATGGGAAGGGAAAAGGAAAAGTTGGGAGAACATAATTAGCTAAATCTGTATATACTGTAACAGAAAATCAATAGATGGTATCCAAAAACTTGACACCTGAAGAACCATTTTTGTGTTTGTCATTAGTGCTACTCAGCAGTATTTCCAACTGTCAGACTTCCATGCTGGTAGAGGGATTGTTGGTTTCACATGTGACTTACTTGGCAAACAAAATGTTAGTGGAAGTGACATGAATAAAACTCAGAGCCAATATGACTTGCCCCCCTTCTTTCCTCCTGCCTCAGTGACTGCGATGTTGCACATGATGGTATGTCACCAGCCTCGATGCTGACATGTGGAGACATGGAGCAGGCAACTCACTGCTCATAAGTGACACTGCATATTATTTATAGATTTGGAAACAAATAAAAGAGTCAGCTTAAAGAGCTAAAAATTGTCTTTGCAGAGCAGGAAGGTGAAGCAAGGAAAAGATGGACAGGAGATCACTACTTTTTGTTTTAGGTCCTTTAGATCTATTTTGTCTTCTTAAAAAAAAAAAGTCTACATTCATTACAAAGTATATATCTTGAGAAATTAAATTAATATGCAAATAGAAATTAAAAGAACCAATGATTAGAATACAAAATGTGTTCTCTACCCTTACTCCCTAGAGAATAAAGGATTTCCATCCCACTCTGAAAGAAGAAGGAATACTTCAATTGCTTTGGGGCCATTACTAATTTTCCTCAGGAGACAGGAATGATTTAACTGATGGGTGAGTCACAAACAGAGCATGGTAGACTCAATCTCTTCTGGGCAATCTTTCTTTATGTATGTGGGAGCACCCTACCTGCAGGAATATTATTTTCTGTTCTCATGTGCAGTAAGCATGGTAGGGAGCTGAGGGGGGAGGGGAAGACCGTGTGGTTACATGTATGTGCTAGGTGACTGTGCATAGGTGGGCAAGTCTGGATAATTTGGTAGTAAAATATTGATAAGCTCATTTGACCACAGATTGAAAGACATGTTTGTTAATCAGCTTTATCAGTAATGACATTGATATTTTGAATCTCCATATATCCATATCTTGTGCCCCATTTCAGAACTCAAGAGGGGGAGAGAAGAAATGATCCCCTCCTCCTGAACAAACACTGGTCAGCACAGAAAACACTCAGATTATCAGGGGATTAACCACCCCTCTACCACTTCTTTGGTGAAAAAAAAAAACATGTGCATAAAAAATGTCTGAAAGCATATATGCTTCTCCGTACTTTCTAGTTCTTATTCACACACTTGGGGATACAAATATTTAAATAACAGAATGAGAAAAGCTAGAAAGCATTGTCTCTTGGGATTCATAGTCATATCTAAACAGTCTCTGGATGGGCTTCTTTCATTCGCTATCAATATTCTTGTAATCAGTATGCTTAGAAGAGCTCTGAATGAAACCTAGTGGCAAAAAGTTGGGTCACATCTGGTACTAGCAGTAAAGAAAACAGAGGGCAGAAGAATCTCAAGTTCAAGTTTAGTTACATAGTTCTGTTCTGACAAATTAAAATATAACTTAAATAATTATGCATAATGACACCCATCCTGCAACAAAAATGCTTCTTTCTATGGTTTAATAACTTACTTCTATATCTTTACCAATTGGTTTCTCTTCTGTTTCATCCACTTTATATATATCCTCATTTGCAGTATTTTCAGGAGTTGCTGGCAATGATAGTTCAGCTATTTGTGCAAGATTAGAAAGTTTCTCATGAACTGAAATAACCCTAAAAATGACAAACATATGAGTATTTTATTTGAAAAGAAAGGCATTTTTAATTTTTGAGCCAATAAAATGTATAAAGAAGGCCCTCATTTATTTAACAGCTAGATTTCTAACATCCCCAGACATTATTCCATCACTCCTTCATTCAAGCAACATGAGCAGAGACACTCCCTAACTCTCACGATGTTCATGGTCTACCTACGTACTCAGGTTGATACATATTACAAAACATCAAGGGCACAATGAGAGAAAGGTACACACCCAAATTATTCCTAAAGGTGAAAAAAAGAAAATAAATATCTACATGGGCAATAAACAAATATATAAATCTTAATGCCAGGCTATGTTAGGTTAGCTGACCTGAAGGTGTAATAGTAATGACAAGTTGGCAATGACTTGAAAAGGCCAATAGATGAGCTCACAACTCTTCTGAGTAGTGCACACTTCTGTGTGTGTGTGTGTGTGTGTGTGTGTGCGCGCACAGAATGTGGTTGGGGGAGAGGGAAGAAAAATCAAGAAAGAAGGAAAAGCAAGAACCAAAGAGGAGGTAGAGAACACAGTGGCGGTGATGATGAATATGGAAAACTTCAGGGGCCCTGGACCAGTGAATAGAGGATGCTCTGAGAGCAAAGGTGGACAGAGGAGGGGAGGCTGAAGGAAGTAGGCTTGCAGCTTAATAAGGCAAACAGTGACCTGCGTGGCCCCCAGTGTCCTCTACATCACAGACACAGCAAGAATGTGCATGCATTTGTGATCTGAAGCTGAAGACAAATTATTATGGAAACCAATAATCCAGAAAGCAAGAGTACACACAAGAATGTCAATTCTCCAGTCTCCATAGCATTCTCATCTGCAGGAAGGTGTAATAATACTTGATTACCCTAATGATGGTTCTCAACAATAAAAAAGAGTTTTTAAAGTAACTTTAATTATCTATGAAGATTTTCATTTATACAGAATGTTTTATAAACTTTTCTATTAGAAAGGCAAGAATTAAAATATAATACTGTTGTTAAAAGTTTGTTTGAAAAATTTTCCCATTAAAAAAAGGGTCATCTCCAATAATTCTGGAAACGCTGCCTGATACACTGGAAAGGGAACAGAACTAGGACTTCTGGGACTTGGTGAGTTCCACTTGGTTCCATCACACATTAGCCACAGGACCTCAAGTAGGTCACTTAACCTCTCCGACCCTAAGAGTCCATCTACTGCAAAATGAAAATAATAAAATCTACTTTATCTAACTCTTAGGGCTTTTGTGAGGAGAAAATAAGTAACTATGTATTCTTAACCATAAAAAAACACATAAAGGAAAAATAATACTCTAAAACACCATTCTTCATTCTAATACCTAGAGAAAGAATTCTTATTTCTCTTCCAAAAATAGCATAAGTCTGGGTGTAGCTCAATGGTAGAGTGCTTGCCTGTCAAGCTGGATTGTTTCAGCTCTGGAAAGAAAAAATGTTTGAGCCAAACTTCCTAATTTTGTTGCTTAGCTATACTGAAGGTCAGGACCCAGCAGGAAGTAGAAAGATGGATGGCAGGAAGCTAAAGGCAGAGACAGTGCACAGAGAACTTGTTCTTGGTCATAACAGCATAATCATCACTGAGAACTACACAGCAACCTTTATGTGAGTTTATTGAAAACACTATTTTTTCTTTGTTGTTGTAAGAAAAACACCACCAATTTTAAAATACTTTTTCTTTATGAGAACTTAAATAGGAGATGGGAAGATGGGCAACAAAACAAGAATATTCTTTGGCCCATTTGTTTTGAGCCTAATTTACTGCTACTTTGCCTGACAAAGGATGGATAAGTCCTATCTTGACCCTCATCAGAACAGAAGGAATACTAGCTTCAGAGAGAGAAACAGTCTATTTTCGGAGTTCCAGCAAAGGACAGGTGAGATGAAAGATCATCAGGCACCATCCTGTGTGATGGCCTCAGTGACAGAGGTTTGTACCTATTTTGGCAACCCTACTATTGACCACAAACACACTGAAATTAAGGATATTTTAGAACAAATAAAAAGCCACCTATGAGTTTGATGACTTTCTCCTCTACAGAAATTATATTTTTATCTGAAAAAAAATCTTACAATGTTCTTGGATTTGTAAGACAAGTGCAAAATTTCCTAATTTTGATGCTTAGTAATGCTGGTATTTGACCTGTGCCTAGGTTTTCTGTCATTCTGGAAGAAACAAAGAAAGAAAGGAAAAAATATTTTAAAATTGGTGGTGTTTTTCTTACAACAACAAAGAAGAAATAGTGTTTTCAATAAACTCACATAAAGGGAGGGAGGGAGGGAGGGAGGGAGGAA